TTTAAGTTTCCAACTTCTGTCCTTGACTTCAAGAATTCGTATCTCATTTGTTACTTGGAATTTTCGGATGAAACCAGTGGATTTTGTTATCATGGGTTAGCTAATGGATAAACTTGAAATTGCGCCTATCCATTGCTTGTACAATTTGATATTCCACTTTAAGTAAATTACGCTGGTTTTTCTCCCAAAATGAATAGTTACGGCGTTTTGAAAAATATTTTAGTTACACATATGTTGTCGACCTAAGCCAGTTTTTAGATATGCTATATTAGAGGAAGTTTCCTACTTTTCCTTAAAATTTCATGAAAAATTGAGGTCAACAAACAATTTTTTTTTTTTACTCTTGCCGCGCGAAATAGAAAAAAGGGAAACAGGTTTTATTACTACCTAAATTTTTTACATGCCACTGTTCACGTGAATAGTAAGCACATTCATGAAAATTGTCCGAAAGACTTCTTTTGCTTGTTTCTTTCTTGTCACAGTTATTTTATTTTCCAAAAGTGGTTTCCTTTATAAGAAATTATTCGGAAGGTTCTAAATATTAAATCGTGTTGTTTAGAAATAATAATAATAATAAATTCTTAAATTTGGAGTGAGATACCACCCCTTACTTTTATTGCCTGCGACAGTATTTTTAGGAAGATATATGGAGTGGAAGACGCTGAAATACATATCACTTCATAGGCTGGCTTCACGCCAAAGCATCCACAATCCAACCATCTGACTCCAAGAACTCAGATGTAACTGGGTCAGAGCCAATCCATAAGAACAAAGCACTAGACGAAAGAATGGGTGAAAAGGAAGTTTAAGGCTTGATTTGAAGAGGTTCTCGCTTACGCCAATACACCCCAACCTTGGGTAGCAATCTCTCTCATGGGATTCAAGGATTGATGAACTCAATATTTTCAAAGACTTATAGATCTCCCTACACTTAGCCATTTTTTTTGGGTAATGTTGGAAACATAATCAGAGGCCCTTCATTTTATGGGGGCATGGGGCAACATCCATATGTTTTTCCCAGACCTAATAGCCCTATTGGTCTCATCTGATGAGATAACAGTAGGCACCCTAATGTTCGAAGTGTCTATGGCTAAACCATTGCACCTCACCTCAGCAGAATAAAAAGGGGAAGCACTAGACATGATTCAGTGCTAAAAAAGATATTAAAAGAAGATTTTTTCCAAAATGTTACCTAAAGACTGGGCTTTCTACGTCAAACACTCACTAGAGATCATAAAGCTCACTGAAGATGATTGAATGTTGATGGAGATTGCAGATGTATCGTCGAAGAAAGTGAGTTCGCAGAGTACAAGTGTGTTTTCGAAGTTTTTGCAAGCAAAAGACTTGCAAAATGAAGAACGCCTTTTATATCATAAAGGCAATTCACCTCAGCCATTGGATCAACCCGAGAGTCATCATGTTCATCCATATGTTGCTTCATCTATTCCGTTAAGTGTAATGTCAAACGTGATCAAGGGCTTGGATGAGGCGATGTACCTCAAACGCGCGTATAGATACATTGCCTTGAACTCTTCCGATCATATGCTATAATTAGCAATAATGACCTAGGTGACGCGTCACTTGGAAGCAGGCAACGACTCAGCTGGTTTGAAACATGTAACATCTTTCAAATCATTGGCACAGTATCCAAAGATGTATCGTTCACTCATAGACTTGTCACATCACCTCAGTTCCAACATTTACATTGTTATATCACCTTGCCTCTACCTCAACGGCTTTTCTCAAACCTTCTATTATTCAAAGTCTCTTCCTCAAGAGAGGACCTCGCCTCTACCTCACGGCTGTTCTTAAAGCTTCTATTATTCAAAGTCTCATCCTCAAACAAGGACCTCACCTCTATATCTCTTGCATAGTTGCCATCAAAGGTATTCCAACCCATTTCTACAATTCGAACTCCATGCATTATATAAATATCAATGTCTAGACTTAGGGATTATCGTGTTGTGTTCAAATACACAACTATATGAGCAATTAGCTCGCCCAAGGAAGGTAAGACATTCCACGACAACGAATTCATTTCTTCCCTACATTGAAGTCCATGCATTATATGAATATCTTTACATGGATTTGGAAGACTATTATTATGCTCATTCTGAGTGAGGCTCCAAGTCATCATATGCGTGGCAACTAATCTACCACACACTCCACATCATCGCCCTACCTAGCCAAGGTGGGACCCTAGTCGAGGTGATGAACCACTTCATCTGATGTACGTTGGTAGGCTGACCCTCTAAAGTCAAGGTGAGGTGCTACGTCTATCGCATGAAGAACTCCGGAGCGATTAGCCTCCTGGCCAACAAAAGGCATCTTCTCACATTGTCTTTTCCAAGGAGATCTTTTGAACAAACCTTCTTATAATTGATTGATATGACAGCTTTGCAACAAGCGCCTAAAAGGTTAAATTGTCAATCTATATTTCAGAGGTCGGACTAGGCTTTAGAGTCGCTACACATCGAAGCTTTAAATGCATGTCAGCCTATGATTGATAGAATGATACCTAGAAAAAGATCTCGACCGTCATGATAAGGCCACGTGTTACTTTATCCAACGGTTATCATCTCTTCTCTACTACTATAAAAGCTCATACAATGTGTGATTTGAAGGTAATGTAATTTTACTCTCAAAACTATGGGTTTGCTCTAATATATTCACTTCATACCCTCTTGGATCCAACCTTTTTATACTTAGTAACTCACGTCCCACACGCATTCACTTATACATTGACTAACTTGATCATTTGAGTGTATGCGACCGGCTGCCCCCACTTTGGAGAAGGTCACATGTTACTGATGATTTGTTCAAGTGTGCAGGGCAAAAGGCTTACGTGGATACAAAAGGACTCGAAATCTATTGACAATGTCACCCATATAAAAAATGAGGTAAACAATCCTAGTGAAGACAATTCTACAGTACTAAAACACCCAAAGAAAAATGTCAAAATCTTGCGTAATTAGCAAAAATAGTCCCCAACATTTACACTCTTTGCTAAAATGGTTCCTATCGTTTTAAAATTAGCATTTGTACCCTTATTTCGAATGTTTCTTGCGGAATTGGTCCTTACATCCATAAACCGTTAAATATCCGTTAGAACCTTTTGGTAATTTGCAGAAATGGTCCCATGGAATATAATTTAATATAATTTGGGAACGGCCTATTTCGACGAGTGGTGACTTTTGCTACGGTTGGCCATTTCGCACGCCATTAGGGATGGGAAAAATTAGGTCATGAGCACTTCGAAATTGTATTAAAAATGTAATATTTCGATTTCGTTTTGACTTCCCGTAATAATCCTGTAAAATGGAGACGAAAAATAAGAAAAATCGTTTATATATTTTGGAACGGCCTGCTTCGACGAGTGGTAACTTTCTATATGGTTGGCCGTGTCGCACGCCGTTATGGATGGGAGAAATTAGGTCATGAGTACTTCGAAATGGTATTAAAAATGTAATATTTCAATTTCGTTTGACTTTCCGTAATAATCCCGCAAAATGAAGAAAAAAAATAAGAAAAATCGTTTATATATTTTGGAACGGCCTGC